AGAGCGGAGTGAGCACGCTTGTGAGAAACCGGTGCTGTCTTCCTAAGGCCCGTAGCTTTGTTAATAGTACTGAGTCAGTGTTACTTTCTTAGTTTTGGTCATTTTGCTAATACGGTTACAGAAAATGTTAGCATTAGGGGAAGTGAGGTGAAGGGCATAGGGAGTCCTTACTGTATTGTTGCAACTCTTCTGGAAATCTAAAATTATTGCAGAATTGACGGTTAAATAATACTAAAGTGAATCCAGCATTGCATGGCGTTAAGTTTTATGGCGGAAAACAACACGAAATTTGTGTCTGAGGGACACAGCAGCCATCACTGTAGGTATTAACTTGCAGGCCAGGGGTAGAGAACACATGAGGCTGGACTGGTGTTTCGTTTCCAGCAAGGCCAGGCCGGACCAGAGGAGGCTGCCCAAGTTCCTGTCTTCCTAATGGTTTCCCAAAGTCAGATGATAACGTGGGGTCTTCTATTATCCTCTGTCACTGGGAGGCACTCGTCTGTGCTCTCACAGTGGTTGACACACGTACGCATTCGTCGGTTCAATGGAGGAATGAATTTGGTTGGTGCGATGAACACTAACCCTGCATTTGAATAGAAGGTGACAAATCCTGCCCAGCCCTGCCGCTTTCATGTCGCTTCGCTCTCGCTCACCCCTCACGTCCTCTCAGACGCTATTAAGCAGAAAGCTGCAGACTGGGGCGCCTGGGTGGCTCAGTGGGTTAATGCCTCTGCCTTCGGCTCAGGTCATGATGTCAAGGTCCTGGGATCGAGCCCCGCATCCGGCTCTCTGCTCAGCGGGGAGCCTGCTTCCTCCTCTCTCTCTGCCTGCCTCTCTGCCTACCTGTGGTCTCTGTCAGATAAATAAATAAAAATTTAAGAAAAAAAAAAAAAAAAGGAAAGCTGCAGACTGAATAAAGCACGTTAGCTAGGTTCCTGTGAAGAAATAAAAGGGCTTTTATTTTTAAGTGCCTTTCCATTGCCACTTGTTAAACCTGACAGTTATTAACTTGCTCAAAAATAGCTGCCTATCCCGGTGCCAGGGAAGGACACAAAGGTGGTGGCGCACAGGGAGGGCTCTGTCGTCACACTCGCTCTCTAGCCCCGGTCTTCCGTCTTCACCAAGATACTAAATGTCTACCCTCACTTTCTCCTACAGTAAGGAAACCTCATGGGTGTTTAAGAAGAAATCCTCTTTAGAGAGCTTAGATCCGCTTCTGGTCCGCAGTAAGCACTTAGGAAAGAGAAGATGACAGCGTAGTCATTGCAGCAAACCTTTATTCAACAGCCGCTGTCTACAGCCCGCATGCTAAGTGCTGGGAGGACAGATGTGTATCATTTCTCCCTTCCCTTCTCTCAAGAAATGCAGTCTGATGGGGAAAATGGATAAGTAAAACAGTACGAAAAATTGCTCTTTTCCTCTCGAGTAGCTTACTCAGTATGTTTCAGTAGCATGCCTAAGGCATTATATAATATCTACTTACAAGTGTACTTGTCTGCGTATACCCATTCATTGTCAGCAACTTACACTCACAAAAATGTGATAAAGTGTAGATATTGTCCCCATTTTGCAAATGAGGAGATCAAGGCTCTAAGAAGTAACTTGCCCAAGGTCACACATTTACCCAAGCTCAGTAGACAACCCAGGATTTCATCCTAATCTACCTGACTCCAAAGTCTTCCTTAACCCATACCTCATAGGATTACAAATACAATGCTTAGTCGCTTTGACAAGGTTATAGAAGACATCTGGGGACGCCTGCGTGGCTCCATCATTTAAGTGTCTGACTCTCAATCTCCGCTTGGGTCTTAATCTCAGGGTCGTGGAGTTCAAGTCCCACATCAGGCTTCACACTGGACATGGATGGAGCCTACTTAGTAGTAGTAATAATAATAATGACATCTGCATATATGCTACTGTAATAGCTCTAGTGAACCTGTTTGTCTTTTGGCATTTCTTTTAATGTTGCCACTGGCTCAAGTTTTATTTTCTTCAGTTCCCTATAGGAAACAGAAGCAAACATCTACTTAGTACTACTCTCCTTATATGTTAACGGGCACTTTCCTTGTCTTAGACCTTTAAGACGTGTAAAGCCACAGTTGAGACTGGGCTACCACAGGCACAGCTCTGCTCTCCTAGCTCTTGCTCTCTTCTTGCCTGTGTGGTGTACGTGTAAGGCCACAGTTGAGACTGGGCTACCACAGGCACAGCTCTGCTCTCCTAGCTCTTGCTCTCTTCTTGCCTGTGTGGTGTACAGACCTTTAAGACGTGTAAAGCCACAGTTGAGACTGGGCTACCACAGGCACAGCTCTGCTCTCCTAGCTCTTGCTCTCTTCTTGCCTGTGTGGTGTACGTGTAAGGCCACAGTTGAGACTGGGCTACCACAGGCACAGCTCTGCTCTCCTAGCTCTTGCTCTCTTCTTGCCTGTGTGGTGTACCCAGTGAGAGCCTCCGTAGTAAGGAGGCCAGGCCACCAGGCCCTGTCACTCCTTTGAGATGATACTTTCCACCAGATTTCAGGGAAGGCCAGATTGTAGGAGTTCCATAATGGCCCTTGAGATATTAAAACTTAACAGTGCTATTTGGAGGGTACCCTCAACTTACATGAGCTAAAACCCACCCTGGGATGATGGTTTAAAGGACAACAATTATTGGACCTATTTCAGGATCTCCAAACACACATCTTAGAGCTTCTGGTGCTTGTCTGTGTGAGTGAAATTAACATTTTCCTCTTCGAATGTTATTTGAACATCTAGTCCTTGACTCATTTGAGAGTATAGTTTTTCTAGAAAATTAGAAATGCGCATCAATGAGGACATATGGGTTATGACGTCATATGAGTGGTTAGTCGTGGAGATGGACTTGAGAAGATAAGACCTCTCCGATGGTCCTTTTGTAAGCAGAGTGTAGGACTGAGCTGTGGTCCCATTATGAAGGGAGAGGTTGTCATTGCCTCCTCCTCCTGGGTGCCAGGGGCAGAGCTGGTGTTGTTCCACCAGGTGTAGACAGTGCCTGAGCCTCTTCCCCACATGCACCCTCAGTTGTCTTCTGAACCCTCAGGGTTCTCTGCACTTTTCTGCCCTTCCTGTACACTTCCTCGAAGTATCACCCCCTGCAAGGCAGTAGTTGATAATGATGGCTTTGCCGAAGAAGGGAGCTGACATTTGACATCTGTGCTCCAGGCACGCTACGTGTTTAATCTCCTTTCATCCTCACAGCACCCTGTCTGGGTAGGTGGATCGTCACTACATTTATAGATATCGAAACTTAGGTTCGGGAAGTTAAGCCATCTACGAAGAAAGGACCTGAAGCTAGAAAAGTGGGAAAACTGCTTCAGTTCCCATAACTTGAGAGACCATACTCTGCCTTGAGGCTGTGGTGTTGGGATGGTGACTGCTCTCGCGGTCACTACTGCTTGCCACCAGCTTGCATGTCCGTGAGCTACGAGAACGCTCCACCTACAGCGTGCCGTGTGCCATAGTCTCAAGGGGTGACTCGAGTGCGGGTTTATGTCACCTCACTGACCCTCACGACAGCTCGCCGACTGCAGATGGTTATTACTTCAGCTTTACACATGGGGAAACCAAGGCTCAGAGACTGACACAAAGTCACTTAGCCAGTGAGTCTGGAGCTGGCAGTTTGATCCACTCCTCTTAGAACACTTTCACCTTGTTTTTTGAAGATTGATTCATTCTAGAGAGAGAGAATGCGCACAAGTGGGTAGGGGCAGAGGGAGAGGGGGAGAGAGAGTCTCAAGCAGATTCCTCGCTGAGCGCAGAGCTCGATGCGGGGCCTCATCTCAGGACCCCGAGATCATGACCTGAGCTGAAATCAAGAGTCGGGCTGTCAACCAGTTGTGGCACCAGGCGCCCCTTGGGACACCTCTGAAGGCTCCCGGTCCAGGCGGCGCCGGACACTAGCTGGGAGTAGAGCCCGTTTCCGTCACGAGGGCAGTGTTCTCCTGCCAGGAATGTTTACAACAACATAAGACGATACTCGTGTAACTTAAAAAATAGTAGGAATTTGTGTCCTCAATAAGAGTATGAGACTCAGTGAGCACTTAGCAAAAGGGCACAAGCTTGCATTTCTTCCGGAACTCCCTGAAATTTGTCTTCTGGAATTTCCCTGCACAGAGAAGGCATCTGAGTACGGTGTTTCCAGAGTGCTTGCTGTGTGTCGGAGCTGCAGACTCAGTGTGACGAATGTCGTAAAAGGAAGACCATTGACTGTTGGAAGCTGTAATGCCAGTGCACTCCATCACTGAGTGAATGAGGGGTGTGGTGAGAGGGGGCTGTGGCCGGCGGGCCGCAGAGCGACACCTGGTAGTGCGCTGTCCTGGCGCATAGCTGCCAAATGAGAATGTGTGGGCCAGCGCTCAGGGAACTGTTACTCGGTTGCCTTGAAAGGTTTTATCTTGCTACTCTGGGTAACGGCTGCAAGAGCAGCCAGTCACTCAGTTGTGTTTAGGGAAAGATCTTAAAATTTTACTCCTTTGCTTATTCCTTATAGACTACAAAAGATAAAGCATTCTTGGGGTGCTTGGCTGGCTCAGTCAGTAAAGCATGTGGCTCTTGATCTCGGGGTCATGAGGTCAAACCCCATGTTGGGCATAGAGCTCACTGAAAACAAAATTTTTTTAATTAAAAAAAATGAAGAACTCTTAATCATGGAGTAATTGAAATTCTATAACTTCCTAATTCAAGTTGCTTGCCCACACCAATGGATCTTCTTTCAGCCTTAAAAATACGTGATCTATAAAGTCTTTTACCAACCTCTCATTCTCTTTGAGAAGAAAACTTCATTTATTTATATATTCATTCAACAAATACCTATAAAATACTTGATATTTTCTAGTCATTGTGCTCAGAGCCAGGGACACGGCCCAAGGTAGATGCTGTAGCAGGTGCTGCTGTCAATACAGCATCTTGTAAAATTTAGGACGAGAAATGCAGTGTGATTGAGAATATAGATGAAAGTAACATTTATTTCCATCCCAATAGATTTCGGTTTTGGAAATTTCTTTAAAAGTGGCGAACTGCTAGCAACTTGGTGTGGCAGCCCCCCTTACGCAGCCCCGGAGGTCTTTGAAGGGCAGCAGTACGAGGGACCGCAGCTGGATATCTGGGTACCTCTTTGCTTTGCTGTGTTAAATGCGTCTCTAGCGGTAATAACTGGAACTCTGGCCCATCTTTGAAGCTCTTGGTACCTAACACATAGTAGCATTTCCTGTCCACTGGACTATAATTAGAGCATTTTTGAATGGGGTTCTGGGAAGAACTGCTTGGGACAGATGTTATTACTTTAATATCAGCAATAATTTAAAGTTAAGTAGTCATCAAAATGATTAAATTCAGATCTTTGAAAATATTTATTATAGGATATTTTATTGCAATAGAGTTTTAGTTTTGCTTTGTTTTGTTTTGAAATTCTGAGAAAATAGTAAATCCAAATGGGAATTTTTCAGCCCATACGATTTTAACAACCCTGGGGATGTTTAGGGAAACAGAGTGTTTAAAGTCCTCAGTGGAAAAGTGACTGCATTGTTTTCTTCCCTAGAGCATGGGAGTTGTTCTTTACGTCCTTGTCTGTGGAGCTCTGCCTTTTGATGGACCAACTCTTCCAATTTTGAGGCAGAGAGTTTTAGAAGGAAGATTCCGGATTCCATATTTCATGTCAGAAGGTAACCTGTTTGTCTTACACTTGTTCTTTACAGGATTTGTGCTCCGAATGAAACGCCTCAGCGAAGGCTTTCCTTGTTCTAAGAGTTTGGGTGCCAAACAAAGTGACTGCGTCACTTGAGAAGCTATAGAAATAAGCAGCCCCCTCCATGTAGGTGAGAGAAGCTGTAGTCTTCCTACTTGTAACTGAAAACGGAAAGCTTTCCAGGTTAAGAACGTCAAGTCTTCGCATGTATTCTGGGTCTATAAATGTCCCCAGTTTATTTTAGACTTAGAGAAGCACCGTGAGATAGGTTCACAACCATTTTACTCTAAGCATGAAATAGATTTTCCTGTATCCTTTGGTGAGAAGTTGCAAAATCGGGTTTTTTGATTAAATGAAAAACTGGCGAAGCTGTCGGATCAAGATGCGGGGCCCCGGCCCCGGCCCGTCTTAGATTAGCTTGTTCCGTGCGACCTGGGGTTTTGGTTGTCATCCTTAACTCTTGCGTTCCTAGTGACGGTAGAAGTACAGCTCTCTGGTAGCTGGGAGCGTAGACCTTAGAGCCAGGCTGCCTGGTTTTGATCCCGAGTTCACCACTTACAGGCGGTCTGCCCTTGACAAGTTCGTCTGCTCTCTGTGCTTCCGTGTCTCTGTCTACAGCACGGGAAGAGCAGCGCTTCCTGGTCCGGGCGCTGTGAGGACGAATGGAGGTACTCTGTGTCCAGCACCTTACAGGGTGCCTGGCACATCGCAGAGGGTATGAGGCTCACTTCTGTGGGGTGGTGGAGGGCATGGTGTCCGCTCCGAGAATAAGCTGGTTCCCGAGTCCCAGCCATGCAGTTTTTGTGATATAATCAGAAGTAACTAATGCTTCGTGTGCGTTTCTCTCAGCTGCGCTGACTGGAGAAGAGCAGCTGGCCGCGGGAGAGCGGCCTCTCACACACAGCCTCACAGAGGTGCAGCAGCCTCACAAGGACCTGGGGCTCCATGTGCGCTCCTTGTAGGGGGAGGCTGGCTTTTGTCTTCAGCAGAACCTAAGTCTGTGTCTAGATCTTTTCACTCGAGAAATTCGATAGAAAGTTTCATTTAGCACCAAACTGGACAGACCTACACCCTCCTGACTTTCTTTCTTTCTTTCTTTCTTTTTTTTTTAAGATTTTACCCATTTATTTGACAGAGATCACAAGTAGGCAGAGAGGCAGGCAGAGAGAGAGGGGGAAGCAAGGCTCCCTGCTGAGCAGAGAGCCCGACATGGGGCTCGATCCCAGGACCCTGAGATCATGACCTGAGCCGAAGGCAGAGGCTTTAACCCACTGAGCCACCCAGGCACCCGCCCCCGCTCCTGATTTTCTGAAATACTCCTTCACAGTGATGGTTACTCTTGTGTCAGCATTCACCATGGGAACCTGACCGCTGCAGCTGGCTTTCATGTGTTCATTTATTCATTTGACCTTCTGCTTTCCAGTGGGCACTGTGGAGGACACAGAGATTAATGCCATTGTGCAGAGTCACATGAGTCAAGCCAGAACCCGGAAGTGCAAGGTGATTTACCTGACTTTCATAACATTGTGTTTTCCGTAGATTGTGAGCACCTTATTCGAAGGATGCTGGTGCTGGACCCATCCAAACGGCTAACGATAGCTCAAATCAAGGAGCATAAATGGATGCTCGTAGAAGTTCCTGTACAGAGACCTGTTCTCTATCCACAAGGGCAAGAAAATGAGCCATCCATTGGGGAATTTAATGAACAGGTTCTGCGACTGATGCACAGCCTTGGAATAGATCAGCAGAAAACCATCGAGGTAAAGTGACCAGAGATTTGACTGACGGTCTTTTGGCACAGCCACCCCCGCACCTGGGCGTACTGTTCAGTCTTCCCTGAGGATGTCAGTCAGACTCTAGTTCATGTGTGCTTTTTTATTCAGTATATAAATTCCTCCCTTTGCCCCATCTGCCAAAAAAATTCAAGAGATGGAGTTTATATGGGATTTGGGAAAGACAAAGAAACTTAACAAAGTAGACAATTTCTTTTAAGATGAAGCATGAAGTTTTATCCAGGGTGTGAGCTAGTCTATATGGATCATAGATGTACAGCTCGGAAACAAGGCTGGGGGCTGACCGGGAAGCAGGGAGAGCCAGCATCATGTTCAGGAAAGCCAGTGGGGTGTGGGCTGCGAGCTGCGGAGGCCAAGCGGGCAGAAACAGGTGAATTCCAGAATCGGAAGTACTCGGGGTCGTAGAATGGAGAGGGTCGTGAGCCTGGGAAATTCCCCCTCACTTTTATTTCTGTCCATTAAGTAGTTAACATATTCCTAGGAGAAACACATTTATTACCTCCACAGCAGTGCTCTCATGGAGCGTAACGCGAAAGAATACAAAATGCCTCTTGTGAACTTAAAGTGCTCCAAACCGTGGTGCCGCGAGGGAAGCCAGGCTGGCTCCCAGCTCAGCTCATCCCGAGCTCAGCGGCGTTTCTGTCCTCGCCACGAAGCAGATCTAGGACGCAGCTGGGAGGGCAGCCCGACGGGCCGTGCTTCCTGCCTGGCATGCTCCGCACCTGGGATGCCCTGCGCGGCAGCCCTGCAGACGGTTCGGTGGAATTAGAAGCCAGGGGGCAGCTGTTCTGCGTTCTGCTGGGACCCTGGGAAAGCTGGCCAGCGAGGGATGTGAAAAATTGGGAAGCAACTTTATTTTCAAGGCTTCAGGAGGGTGGGACGGCAAAAACAAGGGGAAAAAGTTACCTAAGAACGGAGACACGGTATCTCTCAATCCAGCCTCCCGGTGTTACTCTCCAGCCCAAAAGAATCACCAGAAATTTCCCCAAAGACTTTAATCATTCACTGCAGAGTTTGCAATAGTTGGGACTTGTGTTGAAGTTAGGGAATTCGAGCTTGCGGGCCCAGGTTGTAAGCGACCGTACCCCGTAGTCACAGCTCGGGGATGGGACCGTGTGGCAGCCCTGGGAACTTGCGACACGAGACAGCGGTGGCATTTTTCCTGCACGCAGAAAAGCAAATGGAGCCTGTTACTGTGAAAGGGTCAGTCACTTAGAGGCCTCAGCCCTCATGTAGTCACTTCTGGAAACTCAGAACTGTCTGTCTTCCTCCTGAATTCTGGAACAGCTTTCATTCTAGACACACTTCGTTCGCTACTCTGGTTTCAGGAATACATGATTTCTCCTGCTTTTTCAGAAAGCTGTAGCTCACCGCACTGGTCCTTACGCTTCTCCGCCTTCAGCACTTGTTTTCTCTTTCAGTCTTTGCAGAACAAGAGCTACAACCACTTTGCTGCCATTTATTACTTGTTGGTGGAGCGCCTGAAATCACACCGGAGCAGTTTTCCCGTGGAGCAGAGACTCGACGCCCGCCAGCGGCGGCCCAGCACCGTGGCTGAACAGACCGTTGCCAAGGTAACACCGCATTAGCCCGGGGTCTCATCTTGTAGGTGCCTGTTCCCAGGTTTGACACATTCTCCATCTCGTCGTACAACAAAGGGTTAGGATCTCATCTACAAGCGGTTCTTCTGTAAGGTTTCTGCCCGTCACTTCCTAGATCCTCAAATGTTTTAGCATCTTCCTATTTCTTTTCTTTTTTAAGATTTTATTTATCTGTTCTACAGAGAGAGAGACAGAGCACGAGCATGAGCAGGGGGCAGAGGAGGCAGAAGGAGAGGGAGAGACAGACTCCCCGCTGAGCAGGGAGCCCAATGTGGGGTCCATCCCGAGATCCTGAAATCATGACCTTAACCAACTAAGCCACCCAGGCGTTCCCCATCTTCCTATTTCTAAGGATTAATCTTATTTCAGTTTTTTTTTTCTTTAGAAAAAGAGTTTTCTCACCTTTAATCATTGACTGATGGTGGGAATCAATATAACTAGCCTGTACACTCGATTCCACTTAACAAATTTTTACTGAGATTTAGCCTATGCAAGTGTCTGTTCTTAGGCATGATAAGAGATGGGCTACGTAAAACCTGGACATGGCCCTCAGAGACATGACAGTGTAAAAGCAAAGTAAGACATCATCATAAATAACCACCATTCCAAATAGAGAAAGGTAAAGGTGGGAGAACCACCACGGGCAAAGGGGAGGGCGACACATCTGCCTAGGAAAGGCTTCGTGGGAGAGTTGGCATTTCCGACGGAGCTCAGATCTTCAGGGATGTGTAGGCCTGTGCTGGGGAGAGGCAGGAGTTGAAGGCATTGTGCGTAGGCAGCAGAAGCACTCAGTGGGCAGGCGTAGGGAGCTGAACTGAAGCGCACTGGGAAACGAAGAAGTTGGCATGGTGAGTTGAAGCCGTGCCATGAAGGGTTTCGGATGCCAAGGGAGGGAGTTTACGTACAATTCAGGAAGTACTGCAGAACGACTGGAGACAGATATGATACAGTCATACCCAGGCTTTAAGTGGACTCCTCTGCGACATCAGGAAGGGTAGATTGGACAGGGAAGAGAAGAGCTTGGGGGAGAGCAGTGAGGAGCTTGGGCTAACGCGGTGCTGGCGGGTGCAGAATGGAGGGGTGAGCGCAGGGTCACCTCGGGCGGACTCTGGATGGACCCAGCGGTGGCTGGCAGAGGCAGCGCAACTCGCTGCTCAATGCAGGTGCTCGGGAGCAAACCTCCGATTCAGCCCTTGCCTGCTGCCTGACCTTCGGAATGTTCCTTAAGGTCTTCCTGTGCCTCAGTTTCCCAGACTATAAAATGGGGAAAATTGAAGAACGTTCTAATGTTTGAATTAGTTGATAACTGTGCAACACTTAGAACATGGCCCCACGTGTCAATTCTATAAAGTAAGATGGAAACGTTGGGGAGGAAGGGACAGCAGTGACTTAGAGATGACTCTGTTCCCGGGCCCGAGGCTGGGAGAGTAAGTGGTGGCGCTGGCTTAGTTGCTTGAAGCAAAGAATAGATCTGGATCCCGGGACTGAGGCTGAGGCTGAAGGGAGTCGGAAAATCATCTGTGTAGAGGTTGAGAAGAGGCATGTGGTTCGTTCGTACAATCCATTAGGACTTCCTCCACTTCTGTGAGTGCTTACTTTGTGTCAAGGGCAAGGAAGAGCAGAGAAGTTCTGACTTTTTGTATTTCGTGTTTGGCAGTTTTATAAAATTTATAGGCGTTACTAGAATTTTGCATTGGCTTCTACAGAACATGTGCAGTGGGGAAAGAACCAAAGGATTAACATCTTGATTTTAGTAGGCAAATGGTATACACTCTTACACACACTTTAACGTATGAAACAATGTGAATATTGACACTAACGTGAGCAACACATGGATAAAGTTCCAGGTCTTTGGATTAGAGTGTCTCGGAGCAGTTGGAGTCCTTCAGTGATCAATCGTATTGGTTTCAAGAGAGGAGGGGATAAAATGAGAACTCCTCGGTTGGGTTAGTGAGAGTGAGATGTAGTAGTACCCCTTCCTTCTGGAAAATGGTGCCAGGCACAAGGACAAGAAGCAAGAAAGCCCCCTCCCAGTTGTCTTTATTCTTGTTCATATTACGCAATCAGGGATATGGGGTTACATAAATGATCGACCCTGGGCTCATGCACATTACTGCACATGATTGCCTTTCTTACCTAAGCTGGAAGCAGATTCCCTAGGAGAGCTCAAATTATGTGAAATTCGGCTGAGAGTTCAGAGGTATAACATGTCTTCCTGTGTTTGATAATCTGTTTTATTACCAACCACCACATTAATTCTTCTCCTGTTACATATTCACCTAAGTTGTGATAGAAAGCTCCTTACTAGGACTTAAAAATGTGTCTCATTCAAGTAGAAGTCTTTAGGTCCCTTCGCAGACCTATCTAGAGCGCCTTGGGTGCTCGGGAGCAGCACTGGGGCTGGAGAAGGCGCCCCTGCCCCGTGAGAGTCCACACTCGGGTGTGGTTGAACCTGCGGAGAAATGGATGTCTCTGCACTTCAAGTTGAGTAGCACCTTCTCGCTTTAGTTCTTTGTTCTGCTGTTGGCTTGAACAGTGCAAAGCCCGCATTAGTTGGTAGAGCTGTAGGAAATTGGGGAAGCAACGCGATCCCATGCAAAGATCACATGAGCTGTGGAATCATGCAGACCTTGGGTTCCAAACTGAGCTGAGCGACTGGCCGGCCAGCCTCTGTCACTCAGTGTCCTTAAATATAAAAGGGAAATAGCAATGCCCCCTTCATGAGTTTGCTACAGAGATAAAATCCGGCAACTTACTGCAGGAGCTCAGCTCAGCAGACAGAGCGCTTCTGTGCCGGGCTCGGTCTCGCTGCCACCGCAGCGTCCGTTTTCCGGGAACTAGTCCCTTCTGCTCAAGGACGGATGGTACAGTGAGAAAGGACCATCATTACTACCGAGAAGACAGTGAGAACCGTGTCTCAGAATGATTCAGAGTACTTCTCTTTGCCGTTTGCTATGTAAGAAGTGTTGCCTCTAGTTGACTGCAGACAACTGTTTAGGAGAAATACGTGTCGTGCCTGCTCCCGTGAACCCCAACTGCTAGCCCTTCCACCGCCGGTTTCGACGGCCGCAGACCGGGGTGAGCGGTCATCCCAGCTGCTCTGTAATCACTGAGCAGAGCCTGCCCTCCACAGCTGTAAGAAAGCATTGTGTAGTTGGCCCCAGGGTACCTCAGCCTTGGGGGTGGTGCTTAAACCATACAAGGTTATTTTCCCACAGTTCTGGACACCGGAAGTCCAAGGTCAAGGTGCCAGCAAGATGAACTTCTGGTGCGAACTCTCCGCTGCCTACTCAGCGTGCCCTCACGCAGCCTTTCCTCGGCACGTGCAGAGAGAGATGTCTGGTGTTTCACCCCATCTTAGAGGGACACTAGTCCTGTCAGGTTGGGAGCCCACCCGTAGGACTTCGTATTTCCTTATTACTTCCTGAAAGGCTCTCTGTCCAAATACAGTTGCGCTGGGGGTTAGGGCTTTAAGACACAGATGGGAGCGGGGCGGCGGCAATACACAATTCTGTCCCTAACCAGCACATTCCTATTGGAGCAGTAAAGATTTTCCCATAGGAGAAAACATTATTTTCATTGGAATGGTTATTCTAAAAAATGCAAAATCAGAAGAAGACAAATGCAAAATCAGATTCAAGACAATAAATACATGGTCTAAAAAGTCATTACAATTAATTAAAGGACTCACACCCAGGTCTCTGGAGGAGAGAAGCTAAAATCATACCCATATCGTTTCTTTTTGTTTGAATTTAAAACTCACCACCGTATATCCCTTCAGGTGATTATAGCAGGGGAAAAATAGGCCATTCCTCTGCCTTTTAGACACTAGTATGTTCCTTCAGATGTTTGGCAGTGTCCATTGTGTGGACGTGGGCAGGGTCTATCGCCACTCTTGAAGAAACTAGTGAGGTCAGCTTCCTTGGGATGTTAGTCGTCCATCCGTGCATTAAAATGGCATGCTCTCTAGTCCACGCTCCAGTGCAGAGCATGCCATTTGAATATTTTCACCCTACCTCGTTCCAGAAAGACTCCTTTAATCCCTTCAGTGATTGCAAGAATCCCAAAAAAAAAAAAAAAAAAAAAAAAAAAATAAATAAAAAAATAAAAACACCTATCCTCCTGTTTCCTATGAAGTGGTTGTCACCATAAAATGTGTTCCTCCTCTTACCATAGCAGGCTCACAGTAAGTTGTTGCTGTAGCCCAGGTTGGACATGAAATTTGTCAAGGAAAATGTGTTACGCTTGGTCTGGCGTAGCATGACCTGCCATTTGAAAAGTCACAGCTGACAGGGCAGAAACGGAGAAGGAACAGCACACCCTCGTTATCGCGTTAGTACCTCATTTCCAATGCAATATCTTTAAATAATGCTTTGCCCTAATAATTTAAATTATTTTGCACACGAGCAGCAGCCTAATAAATTTGGGAACCAGAAATTAAAGTTCAGCTCTATCCTTTGATTGAAAAGCTGATGATAAGGGTAAGAAGAACGCACGAAATATACTTTATTGGGAACTTTACATTCTACATTATGACATGAGGACTCAAAAAGTTAATGACTAATTAATGACTTAAAATTAAATGACTAACACTTGAAAGGAAAAAGGAGTTGTTTAGCCTCAAAAGTAGTCCAGGAAATAAGAGTGAGGAATGATGATGTAAGAAAAGCCTTTTCTTTATCATGCTCAGTGTTGTTCACAGTGTACTTTTTTTTTTCTGATTTTACCATCCATATGATACCAACACTTGGCTATTGCTACTTTATTCCTTGTCTCACACAGCACATCTAATGATGTTAATGTTGGACTGTACCAAACATAAGGTATATTCTAAATATACTCAAAGTATATTCAAATAGAAGGTGCATTTCTAACGCACCCCCCATCGTCGAAAACCATCCACCCAAAATCTTAACGGAGAACCATTAGACAATAACTGAGAACAGAATTATGCATTTGCAGACTAATCTCTGTGATCTTTTCACGACTTTAGAAGGAAGGAGAAGGGCAGAATTAACATGACTAAGTGAACGACCTTTCATGTTACCTTTTGCAATCCTAACTTCACTGTGAAATAGGTATTGTGCCCTTTTCTGGGTAAAGAAAATGGGACTCAGAGAGGTTAGGTAGTTCACACAGTTCGGGATGGAGCCAGGACTCACACCCAGGTCTCTGGAGGAGAGAAGCTAAAATCATACCAATATCATTCCTTTTTGTTTAAATTTAAAACTCAGCACCCTATGTCCCTTTATTATAGCAGGGGGAAAAAAGGCCATTCCGCTGCCTTTTAGACACGAGTATGTTCCCTCAGATGTTTCACAGTATCCATTATGTTCAAAAGACATCTAATAAATTATTCTACTAGCTTTGAAGAGATGGGAGGCAAGGATTATCCAGTAATTTCATCTTTAAAATCAATCCTTGCCCCCAAAATACGTCAAATCGAATCCTTTCCAGTTGTCCTAAAGAAAGATTCTGTTATATGATTTTTTTTAATTATATTTTTAAAGATTTATTTATTTGACACTGAGAGAGAATGGGAGTGGAGGGAGAGGCAGAGGGGAAGCAGACTCCCCGCTTAGCATGAAGCCTGACTTAGGGCTCGATCCCACGACCCTGAGATCATGACCTAAGCCAAAACCAATAGTCAGATGCTCCAATTACCTGAGCCACCCAGGCACGCCTATGTGATTTTTTAAAAGAAGAGTTTGTAATTTTTGTTTACTTAGCATTGTTAATAAATGAGACATGAAAATGGGCTTAAAACCATCTGGAGCTTTCTCCAGTAGGTTCACTTCAGAAACATAAGTTGCTCGGCAGTAAGCATCTCACTTTCTGCTGCGCCAACAGGCTATGTTCGTTTTCTGCACCTCCTTGGAAGGAGGATACCCCCGTCACCTCCAAGTAACCGCCACTTCTCTGCCACTTCATTTCTTCCTCTGCACACATATCCTTGTCAGGAAATAAACACCATCTCCCCCCACCAGAAACACAAACCTCAGTACACTTTGTGTTCTGGGTGAGAGAGAGAGAGAGAGAGAGAGTGTGTGTGTGTGTGTGTGTGTGTGTGTGTGTGTGTGTGTGTGTGTGTGTGTGTGTGTGT